GTCAGGGCGCGGCAGTTTCGCTGATTCGCAGTGTTGAAGTCCCAGGAACGGTGTTTTGGCACGAATCATGATCGTCAAGACGCAGAAGTCTGACTCGCGGCGTTGAAATCCTGAGAATGGAATTTTGGCACGCTTCAGGATTTTCACACGGTCATCCCCCAACGGAGCACTTCCCCCGTATCGGGCCTATGAAGAAGGAGCTTGGAGGGTGTATTCCAACATCCTGGTCATTGGTCCTCATCCTGTTCCTCTTCCTCCTCCTCCTCCTCCTCCTCTTCGTCTTTCTCTTCTTTTTCCTCCTCCTCCTCCTCATCATTATCATCATCATCGTCCTCTCCTCCCTCCCCCCTGCTCCTCATCCCCCTCCTTCTCCTGCACCGACTGCCCCCTTCTGGGATCCCCCCGCAATTCGGGCGCCGCCGCCGCGCGGGGAAGTCCTCGCTGAACTGGGCGGAGAGCTCTTGCTCGCAGAGCGACCGCAACGCAGAGCGGCACTCCTGCGGGCGCACGTTTCGGCCGCCGTTGCAGACGCTGGTTCGTGGTCCGGGCGCCGCCACGCGGCGCGCCCAGAAGCTCCAGCGGCCCAGCGGCCGCTGGAAGTTTTGGCGGCCACTCGCCAAAATCGGAAGCGTCCGGGAGGCATGTGCGCGGACGAAAAAAGGGGGCCAGGGGACGTCGGAAAAAGAGGAAAAAGGTGACATCGGGGGAGACATGATGGCCCCACATCGATCATCCCTTTTCCGACTCATCACCCCCATATTGGCCGACCCCGAAGCCGGCGGTTCCACCCACTGGGCGGCCCCGAAGATATGGCGCCCCGCCGCTAGGAGCGGCCGCTTTGCTTCATCCAAAAATTCGCAATGGCCAAGCGGACAACCCAGAGGTTCAGGAGCAGGCCCATCCGGCACCCTGCAAATTCCCCCTCACAAGAATATCCGACCAGGTGTTTCCGGACCCCCCCGCGTGATTTGGTTGGTTGAGCGCAGCATATGTCAATGTGATTTCCCAAACTGATGCAAATGAACTTGAAACGCGCGTCACGCCAGCAATTATCAGAAAAATGCCAAACCCTTTGAGCACACAGCAACTAAAACAGGACCGCCCAACGCAAAATGACGTCCTGATGGTTTCTGCATCTTTAAATGCTTCGCGGAAAATGTCTCGATTGGATGCGCGTGCCCGTGGATACCCACGAGCGCCACTTGCAACAGCTGCGTCGTTGATTGATCGTCTCACGGGGAGCCGCGAAAGTCTGGTCAGGGTCCGCGCGCCCCCCACCCCGATGGGCCCCCCAAAAGCTCGCGAAATTGGCGACAGTTGCGCACGTGGCAATCCCACGGACAACAACGAAGTCTCGTCAGGGTGGGCGTACAGTACAGCCCCACTCCGCTGAGCCTCTCGGGACTCACGAAAGTGAGGACGTTTGCGCATCGCGCAGTTCCCGAAGGAACCGCCCGGCCTCGTTTGGGCGCGCGGACAACACCCCGATGGACCCCCAGGAACTCCCGAAACCGGCGGCATCTTTGCAATTCGCCCTCCCCCAAGGAACCACGAGGTCCAGTCTGGATAAGCGTGAAACGCATCTCTGCTGGACCTCCCTGGGGCCCGCGGACCGACCTTTGCGCGAGCGGCAACCCCCTCAGGGTGAATAGGTATATGTACGAAGTGCAACAACAAAAGCTGATGCTAATAATGATAAATGCCAACAATGGACACGGACACAGCCAAACCGTTGGTCTGCTGAGGAGGGAGAAGAAAACGACCATGGACACCAGCTGCGCGCTAGCCGACGCGAGGACCCAGACAAATCGATGGTTGGGCACGTGGTTTTCTCTTGCGCACGCCTGCCTCCGAGCGCGACGTGGCCCCCCAAACGTTCGCCTCGGCCTCGTGTTGCGCCCTCGGCTCGGAGAGGTCTGGGACGATTCAGAAATAATTCACCTGGTCATCGCGCGTCACGCCCCGCGGTGCGCGACGCGCCGTTGCCCCCGCGCCTTCGCGAAGCCAGCTCGGAAGAGGGGCGGCTGTCCAGCCCGGGCCGCGACGCGCGAGACCCTGCGAGTGAGCCACGGAGTCCTGGACAGAACGAACGCCCCGCTGGGGGGGGAGGGGGCGGGGAGGGTTCGAATGCCCGAGAAGTACCGGCCGGGGCCATCAACGCGAGGCGACCACCAATAGGAACGCTCCATCCAATGAAACGGAATCGGGAGATGTCTGCAGCACTCTTGAACGCTTCGCCAACTAACGTCGGGCCACACTCAAAGCCCCCCATTCACGCTGGGCGGAGTCAGCACGCCCGTGCTGCAATGACCATCCCAGGCTCCTGCGGGCTCGGGCAGGGGCGCCGCCTCGCTCCTTCCCCGGCCCCAATTCCCATCCTGCTCTCACTCCTCTCTCCATCCCTCCCTCTCCTTCCTCTTTATGCTTCCTCCTTCCACTCCTCATTATCTCCCTTCTCCTTCGTTCCTCCCTTCCTTTTCCGTCCTTCCTTTCCTCGCCTTCCTTCCTTCCTTCCTCCCTTCCTTCAAGCCGTGTTTGGGTCCAGCTTGGGCACGATATAACACGCGCGCAGCCACAGCACAGGATAACATACATTTCGTGAAATATGCCTCGCAATCTGCCCACTGCAATTGCTGCTGCTGCCCAGTGTCATACAATATCGTAAAAGCATTTCATCCAGTGCCCACACTGTCATGCACCACGAAGTTTGCTCCTTTCTTCCTTCCTTCCAGTATTATATTCTTCCTCTGTCTCAGTATTCTCTCTTTCCTCCGCTCCCCTCTCCTCCCCTCCCCTCCCCCATCTCACCCTCCCTGCACCGCCGCAGTCCTCTCACGCCGACTGGGCTTCCCCTTCCCGTAAGCTCGCAAAGCGGGCGGGGCAGACTCCTCCGGAGGGACCACATCCTGCTCGGCCACTTTGTAGAATTCCTGCTGGGAGGAAGAAGAGGAGGGGGAGGCGGACGAGAGGAGGACACAGTAGGCGCGCTCGCGCCTCATCTGCCATCCTACGCCTCCCTCCGACCCTTGCCATCGCCTGATGATTCCTCAATCCGCGGAAGCGTGTCATAGCCGACCTGCAACTCCATCAAAAAAAACACATCGTGTTATGAAGGGGGGCTGCGTGCACAGGAGGACGAGGAGGAGGAGGAGGAGGAGGAGGAGGAGGAGGAGCGGGAGCGGGAGGAAAAGGACGAGGACGACCAGTACCAGCAGGAACTGGAGCGGAAGGAGCGAAGGAACAGGAGGACCAGGGAAGGCTGGGCAGGGGAAACGAGGGGGGGCGACAACAATGAAGAAAGGCTCGGATCCAGAAAAGTTGCCCGCGCTGGAGCGCCACTCTAAACGACGGGAGCAAAGCGCCGATCTGAAAATGAGGCCCACGCTGCAGCGGGAACACTAATTTTGAATCACCGAAGCCAATCGGAATATCAGAATGCACAAAATAATCAAGTGTTCAAATCCCGTTTAAAAAGCAGCACGCGGAGAGGGCCATTTCTGGACAACTTCAGGGGAAAGAGGCGAGTAGTTCTGATATTGTTTAATTGTGGCGGGGGACGTGGAGAAGGAGGAAGAAGAGAAAGAGGCGGCTGCGGAGGAGGACGATGGGTGGAGGAGGGGGAGGAGCCGTTGCCCGACTCGGGGGCGGGATCTCACGGGCGAGAGGTCCCGCAGCGGGCGATGGCCAGGCGCGGCGCCTGCCGCGCCACGGCGTCCGCGGAGCCCGCTCCCAAGCGCGAGACAGCAGAGCACGGCATCGGCGGCGAGATGTTCATGGGCCCAGCCGGACCCAGACTTGCCCACGATCGTGGGAGACCGACAACCCGGCGGACATAGGCCACGCCAATTGCGCGAACGAACAGCCCACGAAGGACTGCGAGGTCTTACCACGCCGCGGTGCGTACCCACAGCTGGATGGAGACCGACGCCACAGGCGGGCAACCTCCCGCCGATTGGAATACGATGTCAGGAAGGGGCACCCGCTACCGACCAAAGACATGATAACGGTCATGCGGCCGTGCCACCTCTGGGATAATGCACGGCATGCGGCAGGGAGGTCGAGACTGAAGCGTCCTCAGGCAACCTCACCAGGCCCGTGCCAAGTTCGCTCAAAACATCATCAGTTTGGACGCCCGAAATGGGTACAAAAAAATGGGAACGATGCCCAACTACAAATGTTGCCCAAAACCTACAGCGGCCGCTGTTGGGCAAGCGGCCTTCTGTCTCAAATGGACAACGTCCGCGGCGCGACGCCGACAGCGAACCCGGTTCAAAACGAACAGGAACTGCTGTCGGTCTTCGTACCATTCTTTCCGTACCTGCTGTCGACCGCACCGAATCACGAACATCACGAACATCTTGGAACACAGCATCGACCAACTTGCCGACTCCAACGCCTGCCAGGCCTCGAGTGCCCAGCTCTCCTCCAAGGACGACTACGCCCAACAAGGCTACCAATATGGTAACCAGTACGGGCTTTACCAGCTCTCACGGCTGCCAGGAAAGGGAGCCGACCACTGGAGGCAACAAGACGAAGTATGTGAGAGGAGGGCCCGCTGGATTTTCCCATGTGGCCGCTTCCCCTCCAGCTGGAGGAGAGGAGCCAGAGGGGAGTACGGGCCACGCGCGCGTACAGCACCACCGTCTTCCTCAACAACAGCGCGACTACGATGCCCCTCATACGAACGATCTCGACGGAAACACCTACCAGCCGTAGGAGATCGACCAGCCCGTCCCCTCGCACGACGACCAGCTCGCCGATCCCAGCGCAGTGCATCAAGAAGATCTTAACGAGGAGCAGGAGCTGCGTTTCCAGAAACAAGAGGATACCCAGCAGAACTACGGTATCGCCAGCAGCACTGGCAACGGCCACACCACCGCTGCCATTGATGCCAACTTCATCGCCTGTGCCAACACCACTGTGGCAACCCGCGTTACCTTGGTAACGAGGCATTGCACGCAGCATTCTGCCTAGACGGGAAGTGCCCACCAGAACTGCGAGGCTGGTCTCGACAAATCCAGGAGATCCAAAGGCTATGCATTCGTGCACTTCGAGCCTTCTCATGCCGCTAAACGGGCCATCGAGCGAGCTAACGACGCAGAATGCCCACGTCACCTAACTTCGGGCATGGCGCCCCGCGATGCGCGACGCACGGCTATTTTCGCGCCCTCGCAGGGCCGCCCTGGAGAAGAGTGCCTCGCCACCCCGAACCGCGATGCGCGATTATCTTCGCGCACCAGGGGTGGCCCAGAGTACAACCTCCCGATCGGCAGCCAGAGGGTAGAATCTGTGGCCCCGAAGCCTTCGCCAGCACCCAACTCTCTGGACGCCGAGGGCGACCCCCGAGAGCTACGCGCTGAATAATAAGTCCCGGGCGCTGATCGGCGCAAAATCATATTCCTCGAGCCTGCTTCCGAAGGCGATTCCAACGAGAGGACAAACGACGAGGAATACGAATATCAGTACAACTCTGCCAGGGGAAAAATCTTGACGTTGACAGCCGCATGATTCCATGCCACAACCAATGCATAGAGAACCAGCGCCAGCAGGACACCACCATGAATATCTTCAGCAGCGGGCTCATCGATCGCGAGTGTGCGATGTCACCGGTCGCCGCGGCCAGCCAACGCCAGACATGCTGTGATGAGGAGAGTCTAACTACGAGGGCGCGCCGCTGGATGACCCCAAGGGGGAGGGGGGGGGTCGGAAACCCCCGCCTCTTTTGAAAGGGGACCAGCTAGACCCTGACATTCCCCGACCCCCTCCCCACAACCCAGAGTGACCAATGCGTGCTCACCCCGAAAGGGTGAGTCGGTGTCGTATGCCCTGGGCTAGGGGCCTCCTGAACACGATCTCCCCATGGAGATCGATCCTCACCTCTGGGAGAACCTGCACCATCCACTCCCAAATGTCGCGCCACCCGTGAAAATATGCCCACCCACTCGCCTGTCAGCACGAGCGCCACCAGGTAGAAGGGGGGGCACGGTGCAGGAAAGACGCCAGGCTCATGATCGTCGCCGTCAAAATCGTCGCCGGCGATTGGTCTCGTACCCCGCAAAGTGGTTTGTCTCCCCATCGGCCACCTCCATGGCCCGCTTGAGCCTTTACTGTCGGTCGGCGTCGGTGTCGTCCTCGGCCTTCGGTTCGGGGGCTGCATGATGACGTCGGGTTGCTGCCACGCGCTTCCTCCATTTCCCCCGGGGCATTGCCCAGGGGCACCACCTTCTGCAGCAGCATTGGGACCAACGGCGCTAGCACGATTGGCGGCCTCCTTGGTCTGCTTCTGGAGCTGCGTCAAGGTCTCGAAGGCAGCGTTGCACTCCTCCAACGTCGCCACTGGGGGGTCCAGCAAGGCCGCGCCGACCAGCACAGGATCTTCGACGTCAATGAAGTTGACTTTGTGCAGCATTCACGTGTGAGGTTCAAGTTCCGACTGCGTCTCCTCGAGCTGCTTCTTGGTCTCGGCGATGGTCGTGACGAGCCCTACTGTTGCTGCTGCTGCTGCTGCTGCTGCTGCTGCTTCTCGATGGGGCTTTTGCGGCCTGCAAGCCTCTCGACCTTTATGGTAACGTTTTCGACCATGTGCCGAGCTGCAATCACTGACGGGGGCCGAGACAGAAGGCCCTCGATCTTCGCCTGCTCCACCGTCGTGATTGTTGGGGCTTCGGCTCAGTGAGGCTTGAGGAATCTGAGCACCCGAGCGAACGAGAGGTTCGAGGCATTGCTGCTACCCCCCGCGATGGTGGACTTGGGCTGCTGATTGCCTTTCGACCCTCGCCTCCACGAATGGCCGCAAGCTGCGACCTGAGCTCCTTGCCCTCCTTCGCAAGCTTTGAGATTCGCCAGGGGGACCGTTGGCCCGAGCACCTCAGACATGGCCCGCACCTCGTTGCTCGTGGCTGCGAGCCCGCGTGGCTGCTGCGCGAAGACTGGGCGATCCATTGAGGCGCATCCCCTCCGCAGCCAAGGCACTTGAGCCGACTGTGCCACTTGCCTCCTTCCCCACGGTTGCCGCAACCCCAGGGCGAGCGGGAGTCTGGGGCCAGGCGAGACATCGCTCTGTGGCGTGCCCGTGTAGCAGAATAGCTCGCAGGCACGACGCCACCTCGAATGATGCTCATGCAACTCCCTCGAGTGCGAAACGGCTAGGAAAATGGAGCCGACGAAGGGAGGAATGAGAGGACGAGGGAGAGGAGGAGGAGGAGGAGGAGGAGGAGAAGGAGGAAGAGAAGGAGGAAGAGGAGGAGGAGGAGGACGAGCAGGAGGAGGAGGACGGATACGAGAACGGATGGTAATGAGGGGTGATGGATGATGGGGATGATGGGGATAATGGGGATGACGGTTATGATGATGGTGGTGGTAATGATAGTGATGGTGATGGCGATGATGATGGTGACGATGATGAACATCATGCTGCTGATGTTGATGATGATGCTGCTGATAATGCTGATGACGACGATGCTGATGATGGTGATAATGATGCTGCTGCTGCGAATGATGATGATGCTGATGATGCTGATGATGATGATGATCATCATCATGATGATGATGATGGTGATGACGATGTTGATATTGCTGGTGATGATGATGATGATGATGATGATGCTGATGACGATTATGGTACTGATGATGATTATGATGCTGAGGATGCGAATAATGATGATGAAGATGATGATGCTGATGATGATGGTGATGATGATGATGATGACGATGCTGACGACGATGATGACAATACTGATGATAGTGCTGACGATGACTGTGATGATAATGATGCGAATGTTGATGATGAAGTTGGTAAGGATGAGCATAAAGGTGCTGGTGATGACGACGCTGATGATGCTAAGTATGCTGCTAATGATGCTGATGATGATGATGATGGTGTAGGTGGTTGTGATGATGACGATGATGATGATGGTTGATGCTGATGCTAATGATGATGGTGATGGTGGTGATGGTGATGATGGTGATGATGACGATGATGATGATGATGGTGATGATGATGATAATGCTTGGTGTTGGTAATGGTGGTGATGGTGATGAAGACGAACATGATTATGACGATGATATTGTGATGATGATGCTGATGCTGCTGATGCTGATGATGGTCGTGGTGGCGATGCCGACGATGATGATGATGATGATGATGGTGATGGTGTTGATGCTTATGCCGACGACGATGACGATTATGACGATGATGAAGACGACGATGACGATGACAACGATGACGACGATGACTATGATGATGATGATGATGATGATGATGATGATGATGATGATGATGGTGACGCTGGTGTAGGTGGTTGGGATGATGACGATGACCATGATGTTGATGATGATGATGATTGATGCTGATGCTAATGATGACGATGGTGGTGGTGGTGATGGTGATGATGGTGCTGATGATGCTGATGATGATGATGACAATGACGGTGCTGATGATGATGATGATGATGATGATGATGCTTGATGATGGTAATGGTGGTGATGGTGATCAAGTCGAATATGATGATGACGATGATATTGTGATCATGCTGATGATGCTGCTGATGACGATGATGGTGGTGGCGATGCCGACGATGATAATGATGATGATGATCGTGATTATGATGATGAGTATGACGATTATGACGATGATGCTGATGATGAGGATGGTGATGATGACGATGACGATGACGATGACGATGACGATGATGCTGATGATGATGATGATGATGATGGTGGCTGTGATGATGACGATAATGATGATGATGATGATGATGATGATGATGATGAGGATGATGATGAGGAGGAGGATGATGATGGTGTAGGTGGTTGGCATGATGACGATGACCATGATGCTGATGATGCTGATTGATGATGATGCTAATGATGACGATGGTGGTGGTGATGGTGATGATGGTGATGATGATGACAATGACGATGATGATGATGATGATGATGATGCTTGATGATGGCAATGGTGATGGTGATGAAGACGAAGAGGATGATGACGATGATATTGTGATCATGATGATGATGCTGCTGATGATGATGATGATTGTGGTGGCGATGCCAACGATGATAATGACGCTGATGGTGATGATGCTGATGATTATGACGACGACGATGACGATTATGACGATGATGCTGATGATGAGGATGACGATGACGATGATGACGATGCTGATGATGATGATGATGATGATGATGATGATGATGATGATGATGATGATGGTGGTGGTGGTGGTGGTTGTGATGATGACGATGATGATGATGACGATGATGATGATGAGGAGAAGGAGGAGGAACAGAGGCGAAGAGGAGGAGGAGGAGGAGGAGTAGCAGTAGCAGTGGCAGCAGCAGCAGGGTCAGTGTGCATGGATGGGGAGGGGACACAGGTGCCAAACCTGTCGGGGATGAATGGGGGAGCACGGGGTCGGTTTGCCGCGTGGCCAGAGGTCGCGTCCTGCTGGGCATCTTTGCATTTCAGCCCAAGCGTCCCCAGGGTGGGAGCAGGCAACACGAAGCTCTAAATCTCAGTGCGAGTACGAATCCTCCTCGGCACAATAAACTCGAACTCGCACGCCTCCCCTGACTCGTTGTCCCTGCCGGGCGATCGGGGAGCATGCAATCCACAGCCAGGAGATGTCGACACCCACAGCTTCTGGAACCCTGCCCTGGGTTCTCGAGGAGCGGTGGATACAGAAACCTTCTCCGCCCTTTAGAACCACTCCCTGAGGTGCTGGAGCGCGACTCCGAAGCGATGGCTATGGCTGGCCATATTCTGTCATATTCTGGCAGTATCCTGGAACAGAGCGGCAGCATGAGGAGTAGCAGCGGCGCTGGTCGAGGCTCGAGGACCGAGACTGCGCCTCCGACGGAGATCGAGAAAAAGATTACATCAGAGCCCAGGGAATCCTCCGACCAGGGCCACATGGGGATCGACACTTAGGGCCCCGAGGTAATGCAATCAGTGCGTAACAGGCACATATTGACCCAGAAACATGGCTGCCCATTCCCCTAGAGCGGACGACGACGAGTAACGAGGCCGAAATAGCCGACCCGTTTGTCAAGTCCCCTATTCGTCGTAACGGTTGCGCGATAGTGGAGTGCTAGAAGTGTTGGCTGCATGGTAAAATTAGGTTTTGTGTAATTCGCCAGGGTCGCCCACCCCCCCGAAGCACGCGCCCCCTCAACAAACGCCACCCTAATTATGCTTCCTGGCGCAAATTTCGGCACGAGACGGCTCCAATACTGTCTGGGCGAAACTAAAGGGACGTGTTGAGGGAAATCAACACAATAACCATCAGAAAACAACACATGCCCAAAAACACCCTAAGACCCGCTACCTGAAGACGCCAGCCAGCTTCAAGAATCCCTTGGCGTCGACCTCATTTCTTTGGCAGTCTTACCCCGGCTGGCCAAGCTGTGTGCCCGTTGAGCTCGGGCAGGTAAGATAATTGAGCTGCGCAGCTGCGTCGAAGCGGGGCACACCCCTGACAAAACCCGCGCGCGGCCGCAGCACTGAATTCGCAGCAGTGTGGAGCGGCTCCCAGTCGGGCCTTCCTATCGCCACCGTTAGCCGCTTCCTCCACCGCGTACTCTCACTCCTCCTCACGTCATCGCCTCCCCTCGTCGTCTCACCTCACCACCGCCATCCAAAAGGAGCACTGTTCAATGCCTCTTGGCCCAGGCGACGGCTGCCGAGAGCCCCCAGGCGCTAGCACGCCAGCAGCCGCTCGCCCTTCACGAACGCCCGGTACATCGCCTCCTCCCGGGCCCCCTGGAGGACCTCCTCGAAGAGCTCCGCGTGCGCCCTCCGCAGGTGCTTCTCCACGAACTCGGGGCCGCGGAACAGCTTCTGGCACTGGCTGCACCTGTACCTGCCCTCAGCGACCTTCTGGGTCTGCTGCTGGCAGAGAGGCACCACCTCCCGCTTCGCTGCCTCGCACAGCTCGACCTCCTCCAGCCGGGCCTCTCTGATCACGCGCGCGATCGACCGCTCGCGCGCCTCTTCCCAGCCGCCATCCGCCGGCATCTGAGCATCGTTTATCCGAGCCCCATCCCCAGCGGCGTGGCCTGGGCCCCACTGGCCGATTCACCCCCCTAGATGGGGATTAGGCCGCTCCCTTCGGGCTTCGAGGTGTATCCCCAACTAGGGTGGTAATCTAGTGGGGGTCTCGAAGGGGACGAGGATGGGGATGGGGATCGGTTGAACGATACTGAACATCCCCTCCACCTCCCCCTCCTCCGCGACGCCGCGCAGGAACACGGTCCCGCAGTTGCGGTCCAGATCCCAGGCGTCCTCGCACCAGCGCGCGGAGTAGAAGCAGAAGTGGTGCACCCTGCGCAGGTAGGTGACCTGCACGTCCAGCTTCTTCTCCGAGCACCCTGCCCAGCCGAGCACCGCCTGCGTCACCTCGTCCTCGATGCCCATCAGCGCGTCCAGATGGCCAGGAGAAGAAACAAAACATAATCATACACTTTTGGCACTGCGCGCGGATTTCTTGTGTCTGCGCTGGACCCCCCTCCCTGGCGCGCGGAGCGCGCCAGGGGCGGCGCCAGAGGCGCCGCCAGGGGGGCCCAGCGTGGATCCAAGAAACCCGCGCGGAGCGCCAAAAGTTTATGTTTATGGTGTTCTTTTATTCCCCGCATGGCGCACAACTGTGGCGGACAGAGCCTCGTCCGCGCTCGCGCGACCCCTGGGCAACGCAGGCTGGCCGACGAGGGCGCGGAGCCTGGCCGCGGGCTCCAGGAGCGCCGGCACGACGCCCGGGGCCGCGGCGCAGAGCGCCGGCGCGGCAGCGCGGCGCGCCGCCGCCGCCAGCGCCGGCGACGCGAAGCGCGCGAGGACGTCCCGGGCCGCAGGCGGGGAAGCCTCGCCGGGCGACGGCCGAGACCAGGAGAAGTCCACGAGGCCCTCCAGCCCATGCAGGACCTCGAGGGTGCTCCAGGCACTCGTCGCAGCAGGCACCTGGCGGAAGAGCACGGTTCCCGCGCTCGGGTCGAGGGCAAACGCGGGAGGCTGCAGGTGCCCGAGGACCTCGCACTCGGAGGCTCCTGGGGCGGGCGCTGCCTCCGCCTGGAGCGCGGACGCGCGGAGGCAGATGCCGTCGTAGAGGCCGCCGCGCAGCTCGCCGAGGAAAATCACGGCCCTGCGACGGGCCAACGCCAGCCGGAGGTCCAGCCGCCGCAACACGGCGTGCGGGTGGTAGAGGTCGGACAGGAGCCCTGGCGCGGCCTGCTTCATGAGCTGGAAGCGGCGCCGGGCGGAGTGGTCACTCCACATCGCGAGCGCCTCGTCGGCTGTGGCAGAGCCGTCGACGTGGTCGCGAACAAATGCCTGGAAAGTCGTGTCCGCAGGCCGCTCCGACTGGGCGGGGCTGGCCTCTCGGGCCGGGGCTTTGGAACTGCTGCTCCCACGGCGGGCGGTTTCCGCGGCACGGCTCGCCGAGCGGCTGCTGGCGGAACGGCCCGCAGAGCGGCTGGCCGAGTTGCGCGCAGGCTTGGCGGCGCCGCTGTCGGAGCGGCCGCTGGCGGATCGGCCGCGGCCCTTCGGCTCATCTTTTGAGGCCTTCTTCACCTTCTTGGCCGCCTTCTTTGCCTTCTTCTTGGCTCTCGTGGACCGTTTTTTTCGCTCCGAGCTGCTGCTCCTGGTCTCGACGTCATCGTCGGAAGCATCTCCACCACCATTCTCGTTCTCGGACTTGTCCTGCGAGCGGCCCCTGGGAAGCCGCGAAGAAGACCGACGCGCTCCGCGCGCGAAGCTACCCGTCTCCTGGACGGTCTTCGACTTCCAATGCCGCGGCGGCTGCGGCCCCACGCGTCCCTCCGGGTGCTGGTACTTGCAGTTCGGGCGCACGCAGCGGTAACCTGTGAAGCAATTGGCCAGCACCTCTCGGAGACCGGCACAGTGTGACCAGGGCAGATGGGGTCGGAGGATCGCACCGCGTCGCTAATGCACCAGTGCCATCGGTTACATCGCAGATGCATCGTCGATGCGGCGCGATCCTTCGCCCCCATCTGCTCCAGCCTCATTGACTCGTCCTGGAATAGACAAGCGCGTTCCACGACTCGCAAAGTAGCTACTCGCAATGGCCTGGGTGCGCCATGGGGGATTCACGATACATTACGTCGATGCAGACTCCAGACATGGGTAGTTCGGACGTTTGCTGAGAGTAATTAGGCACTTTGCGAGTAGTGGAACGCGCTCGGTGATAGAACCTTGCCAGCCTGGCTGTTCCACATCGGCCTCACGGTCGGGTGGTCGAAGGGGCAATTCGAGCGGCTGCAGTCCGCCCCCCTGAAGCACTGCCGAACGCGCGCCCCTGCAGCAGCGCGGGGCAGCGGAGACCTCGAGCCGGGGCTGCCACGGCGGGCCGGCGGCGACCCATCGGAGAACCTGCACCGGTGCCTCGCCTGGCCCGGGGACCTGGACTGCGGGCGCTGCGGGGGGGACGTCCAGCGAGGTGGAGGCTCGATGGTTCTGCCCTCGGGGTGCTGGAACCAGCAGACTGGCCGCTTGCACGCCTCTGGAGAGCAGAGAAGCCACCCTCAGAATAAGCACCCCGACAAGCGAATCCGTTCAGCAAACGCACCCAAAGAAGAAAGTGAGCAGGGCAGGGCTGTCTAGTAAACGCCCAGGGCCGTTTCACAAACGCCAGTTATGGGGGTTGGGGTGGCTTTCCCTCCCCTGGTCCTTCCCAAAATGGCACATGCCCCTCTTCAATCTCCGCAGGGAGTCGCCGTCGGTCAGCGGCCCGCGACCTGCGGGGTGCCTGTGCGGGCAGTCGGGCCTGCTGGGCATCGTCTGACCGATCGCCATTCCCATCGAGCCATGGTATCCCAGCCCCGCCAGCCCAGCCCCTCAAATGGGATAGGCCCCGCGAGACCGAGAAGGGAGCAGCATATGGGGGGGCAAGTCGGCCAGATGGGCCGAAGCCATGCCCGTGGGGATGGGGATCCTAGGTCACCTAACGTTGCGCAACGCGCCCCGCGAAGTGCGACGCGCGGTCAGCTTCGCGCCCTCGCCCTGGAGGAGGGCGCCTCTACAATCCGAGCCGCTATGCGCGAAGCGCGGCTATCTTCGCGCCTCTGGGGGTGACCTCACAAAGCGATCTCCATACCCACTGAGCCATGGTATCTCAGCCCCGCCAGCACCACCCCCAGGTGGAGATAGGCCCCGCGAAGCCGAAAAGGGAGCAACATGCATCCCCCCCTAAGGGGGAATGTCGGCCAGAGGGGCCAAAGCCGTGCACGTGGGGATGGGGATCCTAGGTCACCTAACTTCGCACCTAGCGCCCCACGATGTGCAACGCGAAGCTATCTTCACGCCCTCGCGCCGCCGCCCTGGAGAAGGGCGCCTATCCAACCCGAGCCGCGATGCGCGAAGCGCGGTTATCTTCGCGCCCCCTCGTGTGAGGGGCAACGATAGGGGGGGCCAGCTCAAGGGGAGGAAACATCAAGCTGGAATCGGCGATGCATCGGCGATGCATCGCCGATAGATCGGCGGTAGAGTCCGCACGTTCCTGGGCGGGGTGGGCTATCGGGTCCGTATCAATGATGGGTGAGCGATTGGGGGCCGATGCATCCCCGCTGAGCCTATCCCCGCCTATCATTGTCCCTGATCGGGTAACCTGGTATACCCCCTCCCTGGAGGGGGGGCCCAGGGACACACAATAAATACACGCAAATCCCAGGATTCCCCAGATGTTTTCATATTTTTGGGATTTTCGTCCTCCCCCCACTTACCATCTTTTCCTATATTTTCTGGGGAATCGACGAGTAATTGTGTCTGTGTGTTTTTCCCCTCCTGATCCCTGGGGGCAAGTCGGCCAGAGGGGCTAAGACCATGTCCGAGGGGATAGGTGAAGGGGGGAACAAAACAAAGGGGACCATGACCAAGACTGAGCGCGGAATCGTGGTGTTGATCTTGGTCACCGTCAATGCGTGGATCATCATTGCGAATCGGCGACGACCGACATGGACCACGACCAAGATCGGCGTTGACACGATCCCGCGATTCCTTGGTCACGGTCCCCGTGTTTCTTCCCTCAAAAAAAGATCGGTAAAATGATGCTCGCCTGCGGCACGCGCCACCCTGCTCGGGTGTTGCTAGAAGTGTCCCTGGTCCAAGGTGCCCCCAGGACCCCACGCCCTCCAGAGGACCCCATCACGAGGCCCAGAGGACTCCAGGGGCTCCAACATGGAGCGAAACTCCGCGGCGAGCGAGCGGTGCCTTCTCAAAGGCGGCGGGGCTTCTCAGAAGCCCTCTGGCCTTCTAAGACATTTCTTTGTCTTCGGGGAAGGCCCAGGAAACTCCCGAAGGCTGGAGGACCTCCGAGCCTCCTGGGAAGGCCCGCGCCCTCTCGCCTCCCCCCCTGGGCCGGCCGCCGGGAGAAGCCGGGGGCACCTCGGGCCAGGGGCACCTCTATATCGGGGATGGACAGACCCCCCTTTAGTAAAACGTGGTCTAGTGAAAACGACCTGAGGCCCAAACCTGGCGGGCGCAAGCCTGGAAAATAGCGGCCACGGCGCCCTCTCGAGAGCCGAAAACGGACAATTCACTAATCGACGTGTCACTGTTGGGGGTTCTGTCCACCCCCGACTATAGCAACCACCGACCTGCTGGCACTCCCTGCGCGCTGGCGTCCTGCTGCGGCGGCGCGCCAGTGGCCGCGGCCCCCGCGCGGACGCCTGCGCCCCGCCGGCGCCCTCCGCGGGCGCCCGCGGCCGCGCGCTGCTGGGGGACGACGAGGGCACCGAGGCCGCCGCGGAGCCGTCGCCGGCGCCCTGCGGGCCCAGGTCGACCACCTTCAACTATACGCAAGAGTGACCCTACGTCGACCACCTTCGACTACCACCTTCGACTACCTTCGACCGCCTTCGACCACCTTCGACCACCTTCGACTACCACCTTCGACTACCACCTGCGTCGACCACCTTCGACCACCTTCGACTACCACCACTCCGGCGAAAGGTCACTCTGACATCTAGTCGACCACCTGAGCGGTGAGGAGATGCGGCCAGGAGCCCAAGCTCAGCGCGTCTCTCGGCGGCGGCCCCGGCGACACGCTCAGCCCCTGCGAGAGGATGCGTGTCGCTCCGCTCCGCGGGGCGGGAGGCCGGGGAAGGCTCGTGGCGCTGACGCGTGGGGAGAATGAAATCATCACGCTGCCACCTGGGGACGCCGAAGAAGGAACGCAGGGCCGTTTCTGGCCGCGGCGAGCCTCGGCCGCGAACCAGAGCCTCGCCCGAGCCCGAAGCGGTCCTTCTATCAGCGTCTGGGCTGCAAGGGGGGGGGCTGTACGCACGAGGGCATGCCGATCTCGCGCGATGGCTCACGCAGGCCGCTGACGCGGCACACCACGCGGAAGAGAGAGAGAGAGAGAGCGCTCACGCGCGCGAGAGAGAGAGAGAGCGCTCACGCGCGAGCTTGCGCGGGCAGCTTGCGCGCGAGTGTCCACGCAGTCGAACCCCTGATCTGGAGGAGGGGGGTCGTCCTGACCGAGATCCCGAAGCGGATCCATGCGTGGCGACGTGGGCCCCCCCAAGAGGCCCGAGGAGGGTGAAGCCGAGTGAAAGGCATCGGCATTAGTGTGTGTGCTCTCCTCTGATCCTCATTGGGAGGCGCGGCATGGTATACGGGTGGGGTAGGTGAGTCATGGAGCCCTTCGGTATGGTGTCCCCCCCCCCGCCCCCTCGCATGGAGTCACATCGGTATGCCTTCTGGAGCGAGGAGGGCGAAACCGAGTGAAGCGCATTGGTACTATTTCCCTGCGTCGCTCACCTGCACTCCTCGCTTCAGCGCCCGCGACTTCTTCGCGGGCCCAGCCTGGAGGAACAAAAGACGGCACGAACGTTAACTTTCGGCGCTCCGCGCGGATTTCTCCTGGATCGGCGCTGAAGACCCCTCCCCGGCGCACGGAGCGCGACAGGGGCGGCGCCAGAGGCACCGCCAGAGGGGCCCTGCGCCGATCCAAGAAATCCGCGCGGACCTCCGAAAAAATATATGTGTATACTGACTGTTCTTCTTCGGCGGCCTGCAGCGTCCCAGCGGCGACCGGGTCGCACGCGGCGCGCGGGCCGAGGGGCATTCCGGAATCTCCTGGCCCCGGAGAGCTGGGCCGCGGAGGCGCGAACGCGAGCGAGGCCGAGACAAGCACTCCGGCAATCTGGAGCTCCAACGACTTGGGCCAAAACGGGCACGTACGTATCACGGCCTCCTCCGCCTCCGCGTCCTCGTCCCCATCCTCTTCTTTTCCTTGTCCTCGTCCTTCTCCTCCTCCTCCTCATTATTTTCCTCCTCCTCCTTCTCCTTCTGTTCCTTCTCTCTTCCTCTGGCTGCTGCTGCTGCTCCTCCTTCTCCTCCTTCTCATTATGCTCTGCCTCTGCTTCCAGCTCCTTTGCCTCCTGATCATTTTCATCATCCTGGTCATTCCCTTCGTCCTCCTCCCCCTCTCGCTCAACCTCCTACTCCGCCTCCTCCTCGCCCTCCCTCTCCTCCTCCCCCTCCCCCTCCCCCTCCTCCCCTCCCCCTCCCCTCCCCCCCCCTCCCCCTCCCCCTCCCCTCCCCCTCCCCCTCCCCCTCCCCTCCCCCCTCCCCCTCCCCCCTCCCCCTCCCCCCCCCTCCCCCTCCCCCTCCCCCTCCCCCTCCCCCTCCCCCTCCTCCTCCTCCTCCTCCTCCTCCTCCTCCTCCTCCTCCTCCTCCTCATCATCATCATCATCATCATCATCATCATCATCATCATCATCCCCTTTCCCCCCCTCTCTGGGCCTTCTCTTCCTGGCAACGTGCCCCGACCCCCACCGACGTCGCACCGCCCCACACCACGTCGGGCCATGCCAGCAGAAGGCGCATCCGGGTCACCCAACTCGGCGACTCGCGCCGCCGCCACGCAGCAGGGGCGGCTCTCCTGCCCCCTGGGGGCAACCAATCGAGACGGCCCGCATGCGTGGGCCGTATCAAAGATCTGTTGCTTCGTCTGCGTTCAGCATGTGCGGCGCGGCATGGGCACCACATTGCCCACGACCGTGGTGCTCACGTCTGGCCAGCGTCGAAACATAAGAGGCCCTCGTCGTCGGGCCAGCTTTGGCCTCAAAGCCTCCACGAATCTGCGGGCGAGATGCCCCCGACCCGGGCATCGAGAGCGTCGCGCTCCGCAATTATCTTCGCGCCCCCAGGCGTTGAGGGACTCGGGTACAGTGGAGGCCAGTCCACAAGAAACCTTCCACTAGAAACCCAACCCTACGACCCCAGGGCGTCCCTTGATTTTCGACCTGGGAGGGTCAAGTTTCCCATCGCAAAATCATTGGAACTCAAGAAACCCAGGGCGCCCTGGAGGCGAGCAGGGTGTTCCTTGGCATGGGTCTCCACTGTACGCGACCCGCCAAGTGTCGCGGATTCTGTTGGTACCGTTCCAGCCATGCCGAAACCAATGTGACCAGTACGACTCAAGTGAAACCGCTTGGGTCATACGAAGGATACGATCCAACTGGTGATTATCCAAATGACTCGGACTTGCAGCCATGCGCCTCGGACCAACACAAAACCAACGACTATGTTGGCAACATGTCAACAATCTATACAGCGACCGACGTAACCCAAACGCCGCTACTAAGGTAAGCAAAGAACAACCGGGACCGATATCACCCAAACCGCACCATAATAATGGAGCACAACGTCCACCATGCGCCTCCGATCGAAATAACAACGATCCTGATAACACCACTTGGGTCATGTAAGTCTACTGGGACTGATATGACCCGAGTGGTACCGGCATGGTTCGAGCACACTGCCAGGCAAATGTTTCGAGCAGAAGGGTTGAAGTG